AAACATCGTATGTTCTCATAAGTGGAAGCTAAGCTATGAGGCATAAAAATGATGCAATGGACTCTGGGGACTCGGTGGGGAAAGGGTAGGAAGAGGGTGAGGGATAAAAGATTACAAATTGGGTTCAGTATATACTGCTCAGGTGATGGATGCACCAAATCTCATAAATCATAGCTAAAGAAATTACGCATGTATCCAAAAACCACCTGTTCCCCAAAAACCTATGGAAATAGAAAATTAAACAACAAGAAAGTTAGCTTCAGGGAAGTGAAGTGACTTTTCCAAGGTAGCCTGGCTAGGAAGGGGAGGGTAGTGGACAGTTAGACTGGCACCCACCAGACAGGCAGGACCTGGCCTCACCCTGGGACCTGTCCCTGCTCGTCAGCATCTGCCCACTGGAGCCACGTGACAGAGGGACACAGCGTAGCCAAGACATTTACAAAATGAAGATCCTTTGTGCCTGAGTGAAGTGATCCTTTCAAAAATGATCGCCAGCTCCCCTTCACCACCTCCGGAGACCAAGTCCTGGCTGATTTTTCCCCGTCTTTATCTCAAGTACATTTAAATGTCAATTAAATTTGAAATATCTACATTTGTCAGCATTTCATTTTGGGCCAGCGTGACGTGCTGCTGATTTGTCCACGCGATGTGACACATGAAAAAAACTCCCGAGATGCAGATCTTCCTCATTAAAAAATAAGCCGGTGCGATCCCGGTGCGGCAGAGAGCATGGAGCACGTCCCCGCTTCCTGACGCCGTGTCTCTGACATGGTATTTAAAAAGGAACAGCCTCGCCTGTCACCACTGTCACACGCGCGCGCTAACCAGCGACACGTTAAACCAAACATTAGAAGGGGTTCGGGAAGTCATCTGCATGGGAACTCCGCGCAGAGACGAGGTGGGCAGAGGCGGGAGCAGCCGTGGGGGACGATGGTGTCTGATCCGTGACGGATGGCCAGCCTTTCTTCCACGCCAAAACTCTGGCAGCCCTCGCTGGGCAGCCAAGTTTGCCGCAACCTGCCTTTTCACAGATAGCTCTTTGTGTGTAATAAAATTCAGGCAAGTGGTGGGTGGCAGACTGCAGGGGAGTAGCTGAATTGGGTTAATGAGGGAAAAGGTGCTTTTTTTTTTTTTTTTTTCCATATTCTGCCTTAAGCTAATAAAAAATGTAAGCCTGGACGTTTTCGATGGTTCATCCTTTATCTCTGACAAATATATGACTGTATATTTCATGGGAGAACATGGGCAGCTGAATTTAAGTAAGTTTATTTTGAAACCTCACCTTTCATTAAAAGTAGAAGAGGAAACACCCTATCTCTTATTTCGTTGTTTCCGACCCAGGAAACTGAAGAGGTGAGATCCCGTAGTGGTTGAAAGTCGGCGAATCCACATTCAGTTCCCAGCTCTACCTTTAGCTGCTATGTGACCCCGGGCAAGTGACTCCCCCTCTCTGAGCCTTGGCTACTTTGTCTGCAAAATGGGGTTGCAATAAAGAATTCATGAGAAATTGTATGGACAGCATTTTGCCCAAGGCTTGTGAGTATTGCTGGTGTTATCGCCATCCATGTGGCCTGGACTTTACAAAGCTCTGATCTGAGCACATCAGATGACAAATTTCTCACCTGGGTGTGCCCTGTCACTCTCAAGAGATGGGTGGTATATTCTGGAGGCAGCTGGGTCTCCTGTGGAAACCATTGCCCAACCAGCCTGGCCCGGTCAGTACATCCAACTGGAGAAGGAAGGTGGCCTGTGAACTGGAAACTGCGGTTCCTTCTCTTCCCCCGCCTGCCACAGTCACGCCAGTGTGGGAGCCCCCGGCCCCCTCCACCATCACAGCAGCGTGGGCGGCACTGGATTGTGACATTGGCCTGAACAGTGGCCGCCTGATCTACCGAAGCCAGGGCGCGGCCCAGCACAGAGGCTCCTCGCTCCTAGGTGAAGCCGGAAATTCCTCGCAGGTTGAGTGGCGTTGCGCCAACATGTCAAGCTGTGATCTGTGCCCTCTTGTCAGAGCCAGAGGTGGGGGCCTGTGCTTAGATGGATGTCAGAAAGGCAACCAAGGTGGACACAAGGGCAAGTGGAGAGCCTCCCTCCATTTGGCCCGAGCAGGGGCTGGTGTCCCCTCGTGTGCGTCTAACCCGAGCCCCGCTCACGGGAGAGTGAGGACCCTGGGAGTGGACTGTCTGGGCTGCAGTCCCCGTTCTCCACTTCTTGGCCACATGGTCACCTCTTCACCAGTGATGCCCCAGTGCACAGCTAGCCTGGGTCTGCTCACAGGAAGCAGGCTGAGAGTGCCTGTTGCTTGGGTACACAGATGGACAGATGGATGGGTACACTCATGAAGGCCTCATCCTCTAGAAAATCTGTATGGTGACACCTTCTTGTTAGGCTCTTGTGAGGGGTGGAAATGGCCTCTATAAAGCACAGTGCCTGCTTGTTGATATCGTTTTAAACACTTTCTGCCTGCCCCTACCTCCCTGGCACCCTCACCTTCAAACATCATCCCATTCTTCATGTCTTAGCATCTCAGAACAGTCTGGGGAAAGGGGACAGTATGGTGCGGCTCCAGGAAGATGGTAAAGTGGGGGTTCCCCCAGCAGGCTGGCTTTCATTCATTCACAAACTTCCACGGCGTTCATGCTGTACCCCAGGTGGGGAGAAAGAGAAGAACAAGCCAGGCCCTGTCCTTGAGGAGCTCGACTCAGAAACAGTGGCAAGAGGCTAAATGGTGTCTAAGAAGTGCTAAGACGCACAGCCAGAGAGCTCTCCTAGACTCCAGTGGGCTTCATAGCAGTCGCATTAAGCTGAGTCTTCAAGACCAAAGAGCAGTCAGTGCTCTAAGCAAAGGTGACAGGGACGGGGGATATCCCGGGCCGGTGTGGTCAGAGATGGTAAGCATGGCCGAAGTGCAGGGGAGGCCAGGAGAGGGCCGCAGAGGTAGGCAGATCTGACACACAGCGTGGAGACTGCCCTGCTTGGAGCCCAGGCCTGGGACGGCTGCTCAGCAGTGCATCCCACAAGCTCCCCAGAGTGCGGCGGAAGCCCACGGCCTGCCCACCCGCCCCTCGCCTGCTCTGGAGAGCAGTCAGTGCTACAGAGCGAGAGTGGGCTCCCCCTAACTTTGAAACAACTTTGAAATAACATGTCTGAACATATTATTCCTAACCCTTTGCTCCACAGATTTATTTACTCACCATACCACCAACTGCAGCGAGATCACAGTTCAGAATGGCAGATTCGTAGGTTTTAGCAGGAGAGTGACAAGTGTGGGTTTGTGATTGAAAGAGACTCTGGTGGCTGTATGGAGGGTAGCCTTTCTGCTCTGTCTTCTTTGCTGTGGAAGTGGCAGGAGCTAGGTGCCCTGGCCCCAAGATTCCTGCAAGTCAGGTCTTCCTGGCCTCTCCACTGAGGCAGGAAAATGCCCCCTGGACCAGAGCCCTCTCTAGTCCAGGAAGGGCTGAGTTGTGTCTTGCCCCTGACAGCCAGCAAGGCAGCCTGGGAGCAGGGAAGAGCCCAGCGCTGCGACTGGCCGCCTCCTGTTGTGTAACCCTGGGCTACTGGCTTCCCCTCCTGAGCCTCAACCTCCACTGCAGTTCGAGGACAAAAGTCTGCCTGGCCAGCCTCTGGGAGGAAGTGAGGGTTCTGATGTGAAAGTGCTGGGATGGGCACCAGCCCTGGCGGATTGCAGCAAAGCGCAGGCACAGGCCACTCGCCCCGTCCCCCTGTGCAACCACTGTCTCTGACTCACCCTCCAGCTGTGGTTCTCGTGCCCTTTTTTTGGACACATTGCCCTCTCCTGAAATAAAACCTCAAAAGAATTCCAGCATACAGAGCAGAGAAGGGAGACGGCTTTGGCTGAGGGGGTGAGGGGAGAGGAGGTAGCCCATGCCAGCCTCCAGACCCCATATTCTCCCCAAACTTCACTTGCCTCAGAGCAAGCCAGCCCACAGAACGGGGCAGGGGTGTGGAACACCCCGGGGTCTGCTCACACCGGGCAGGCTCAAAATGCCTCTTGGTGGAACGCACGGAGACACCTACTCCCCAGCGCAAGGGCCGGGATTTGAACCCAGGTCTGCTAGTCCAGCTCGCCCCTGCTGAGCACACGGCCTCCGGTGGGCCCTGGTCAGTATATAATTCATGGGAGCCGGGCGTGGAGTTTCTCCAGGCTGTGTATGTGTTGGTGTTTATAGAGGTAGAGCTCACAGGTGGCTGACAAGGGAGATGCATTTTTTATAACAATGAATATTTAATTTCCACATCACAGATGAAAAAGACTCTCTGAAGAGGCATCTGACGGAAACTCCAGAGAGCAGCCGCTAATCAGAAAAGGGCCTTCTCGTGAGAGCTCTTCCGCACGGCTCACTTTTTTCTTTAACTTTTTTATTTTTTATTTCTTCCTGATTATTGGAGTAGATATGCTCATTGTAGAAAATGTATAAGACACAGAAAAATAAAAAGAAGCAGGGGGGAAAGAAATCACCCGTGATTCCACTGGCTGTTATTGACATTAGCCATGTACCTTTCCAGTCTTTTTTCTATGAATTTTTCCATAAGCAGATGACAGCGAATGCGGTGTGATTGCAGTTCTGCATCCTGATCTTTAAATGTGTCTTCATAAACATTGCGTTTCGTGGAAGGACAAGATTCAGCCACTGCGCCAGCTGGTTGTTGCTGACAATGTAGGTTGTTCCATGTTTTAATATTATAAACACCAGTGATGACCATCTTCAGGTGTGATTCTTTGCCAACTCTGAGGGTTAACCAAATGGAAGTGGGATTACTAGGTCCTATGTGATGGGTCATGAGTTGAAGGCTCTGGACACATGGCAAATTTAGTTTCTTTTCTATCTGGAACGAGCTTCCTCTCCTGAGAGCTGCCACCCCAGGCTGGCACAGGGAGCCAGGCATGGAGCCCAGAGGCCTGCTTCTCGCCTGCACATGAAGTTCTGAGGGCGCCCCTAACTGCCTGTTCTCTTCTCTTTTGTCTTCCTCTGCCCCAGCCTGGTAAAGCCCTTACGACACTACGCGGTCTTCCTCTCCGAAGACTCTTCTGACGATGAATGCCAGCGGGAAGAGGGCCCGAGCTCTGGCTTCACCGAGAGCTTTTTCTTCTCTGCTCCCTTTGAATGGTCTCTTCTTCCTTCTTCCATTTCCCTGAGCTCGGTTGGGTGACTCTGTGGGGCTGCATGGGGAAAGCGGGGGGCTGGTGATGCTTGCCTTTGTGTTGGGAGGGGAGGGTGTCTGGAGCTGCTGCCTGTCGGTGCCCCAGTGCCAACATGCCGGGTGGACGCCACCTCCGTGTGCCACCTCTCAGGGCATCCGTTCTGCTAGCTCCACAGGGGCTGTGACAATTGAGTAAGGTGACAGGGTGATATGTGAGTGTTGGTCCCTCAGAGATGAAAATGTGTTTGATTGCTGATGGAACTGGTGACTACAATTAGTCTGGTTGTTGATCTCCAAGTCCTTCTTTATCTCAGCATATCTTGGAAAGCCATGGAGATGGGAGTCAGAGTTTAAGTTGACAAAGAAAACGTTCCTCATATGAAACGTTTGTATTGAATGCCAGCCTATCCAAGTGTTCTAATCTGCCTGACTTTTTAAAGATAAATTTAATCATTATTATTTATAGCCTAAGCCTCATACCAATTACAAGTAGTGATTTTAAAAAGTTTCACCCACCATCCAGCCACCCCTAAAATTAAGCTGCTGTCACCCTCCTTTCTTTACCCATTCTTGCCCCTCTACCCACAAGTGTTTCAGAGCTGGGATCGAGCAGAGAGACAGACAAAAGCTGTTTGCCCTTGTTAACACGGTTCTGTGTTTTTAATGGGAGCCTTTCAGGGAATGGAAAGTACCCTTTGCTGGATGCCCACGGTGACCACAGCAACCTTCCAGGGAGCATGTTAATCGTTTCAGTCATTGCACAGAAGAGGAGATGCCCTTCCCTCCCTCTCCCTCATGTCCCCTGCACCCTCTCCCTGTTCCCAAACCCCAGCATCCGGTCCCCCCCCCATGGGGTGGCCCGTGGGTTCCTCTAAGGACCTTATAAACCCCAGGCTGCTCGGCCCCCCGTCACCAACCCCACAGGGTCAGAGGGTCCTGACCCTTTCCTGCCACCAGGTCACTGGGGACCCAGACAAGTCACTCCCCTCCCAGTGTCCTCACTTAGAAAGTAGAGGCCTTGCCAAGCACAGTGGCTCACACCTGTAATCCCAGCACTTTGGGAGGCCCAGGCAGGTGGATCACTTGAGGCCAGGAGTTCGAGACCAGCCTGGCCAACATGGGGAAACCCCGTCTCTACTTAAAAAAATACAAATATTAGCTGGTGTGGTGGCACGCACCTGTAATCCCAGCTATTCAGGAGACTGAGGCAAGAGAATCACTTGAACCCAGGAGGCGGAGGTTGCAGTGAGCCGAGATCGCACTGCTGTACTCCAACCTGGGTGACAGAATGAGACTCTGCCTTAAAAAAAAAAAAAAAAAAAAAGTAGTGGCCTAAGCTGGTGTCATCCAAGCATCACACATCACTTTTGCTGTATATCAAATCTTTGTTTCAATTTTTTTCAAAAGATTTTAAAATTAGCCTTCTCCTAAGCAATAATATCTACGATTTTGTAGGCTTAATGTATTAGTTATTATTTCTGTTGCTAATTAGAACAAAAATAGAACCTTTAGCATAAGACGTGTTCATCTATGTGTCAACTTAAAACACCTTTTGGGAAAAGGCACCCTGCTGCCAGCCAGGAGCGCACCAAGTCAAGTCCAAGACCCAGCTCCATCATATCCTCTCTGAACTAACTGATGCCTTAATTATTTAAATAATGGCAAGGGCTCGCTTCCTTAGCCCATGACCTCAGAGGTCAGTACAGGCCTTTGTGTGTGTGTTTGAAAAGAAACTGGCCCATCCTAACTCAAAATGGGTTCAAAATGGGTTCCTTAAGTTCCAGAAGCACACTGACTTTAACCCTTTCATTGTGCTCATCTTGATTAAAGGGTCTCTAATTCCTTGGTCAGGGTGAGTAAGGGACGTTTGAAGCCTCTCAAGCTTGGCTTCCATTTCCACCCCTTGGGAGTGCTGTGTGACATAGGTGAGTTATTAACATCTCTGAGCTTCATTCCTCATCCATAAAGTGGGGGTGTAAGTCCGACTTCCTGGCCCGCTAGCATTGCTTCAGCGAGAGAGTACATGATGGAGTCCCTGTCCATCACTGATATTGTTTGATGAGCCCTCCCATATGTCCCCCACCCTGCAGTCTTCACTGTGAGCCTACCCTTGACCGCCAGGTGGTGCCCTTCCCCCACTTTACCAGTGCCACGGGCATGATCTCTGCCTGACCTAGGGCCACCACCAGCCCGACCTGGGGTTAGAAGAGGCGAGCTGTGGCCAGGCGCGGTGGCTCACGCCTGCAATCTCAACACTGGGAGGCTGAGGCAGGCGGATCACGAGGTCAGGAGTTCGAGACCAGTCTGGCCAACATAGTGAAACCCCATCTCTACTAAAAATACAAAAAATTAGCTGGGCGTGGTGGCGGGCGCCTGTAATTCCAGCTACTCGGGAGGCTAAGCCAGGAGAATTGCTTGAACCTGGGAGGCGGAGGTTGCAGTGAGCCGAGATCGCGCCATTGCACTCCAGCCTGGGAGACAGGAGTGAAACTCCGTCTCAAAAATAAAATAAAAAATAAAAAAATAAAAAAGGTGAGATGCAGTTCCCACTGGGGCTCCACTAGAGGTCAGGGTTGACCCAGGCACTGCCTCTCCATCTACCCAGTGGTGCCCTGGGACTCAGGTCCATGGGAAGGGAAGGCAAGTGGAACCCTTTGTTACCTATACTTGTATCAGCTGCAAAGTAGTGGTGTGGGGTTTGTTTGTGGTTTGTTTTGTTTTGTTTTGCTTGTTTTGAGACAGGGTCTTGCTTTGTCACCCAGGCTGGAGTGCAGTGTTGTGATCTTGGCTCACTGCAACCTCCATCTCCCAGGTTCAAGCAATTCCCATGCCTCAGCCACCCGAGTAGCTGAGACTACAGGCATGCACCACCACACCCCGCAAAATTTTGTAATTTTAGTAGGGACAGGGTTTCACCATGTTGGCCAGGCTGGTCTAGAACTCCTGACCTCAAGTGATCCGCTCACCTCGGCCTCCCAAAGTGCTGGGATTACAGGCATGAGCCACCATGCCCAGCCAATGGCTGCAAGGTTTTGATGTGTAAAAGTATAGAAAGCTGATAGCAGAAGAGCCCGTGTGACAGCCATGCTCACTGGTGGGCGCTGGATGCTGTAACCAACCTCTGCATGTCTGCTGTGTGCCAGGCACCGCATTTGCTCATGTAACCACCACTACCACCACCTGAGCGCCTGAGGCTCAGAGAGTTAAGTAACCTGCCAAAGGTCCCACAGCAAGAAATAGCATGACCAGAGCTGGAACCAAGCTTAGCAGGGCAAGCTTAGGCCCAGACAGTTCCCCATGAGCTGTTCACAGAACCTGACTGTGGCTGTGCCTAGGCTACCAAACAGCAGAGCAGGGCGGGAGTAAGAGGAGCATGACTGCTGGCCTGTGAGCTCCCTTCCAGTCCTGTCTGTTCCTCATATCTTGTCTGAATGGCTCACAAGCCCACTAGCTAGTTTTATGAAAGGACCTGTAGTTTGGGAGGGGCACTAAATGGGTCCCCTCCGTGCACGTGAGAGCCAAAGCGACTTGCCCCTGTTCACACCCCCAGGCCCATCAGTGTGCCCAGCTTGCACCCTCGCAGCCTCCTAGACTCCTGCCCTCCCGGACACCCTGGGACACGCTCCTGTCCCGAAGGCTCCTGCGTGTACCCCTCAAGCCCTCAATGTGCTTGGGCTGGAGGCCGCTTGCTCCTCCCCTGAAGGTCTGGGTGGGAGATTCCAGCCTGCCCTGTCTCCCCGCAGGCCACAGCCGTATCGGACACTCAAGGAGTCAGACAGTGCGGAAGGCGACGAGGCAGAGAGTCCAGAGCAGCAAGTGCGGAAACCCGCAGGCCCCGTCCCAGCTCCCACTGACCGGGCTGCCAGCATCGACCTTCTGGAAGACGTCTTCAACAACCTGGACATGGAGGCCGCATTGCAGCCCCTGGGCCAGGCCAAGAGCTTGGAGGACCTTCGTGCCCCCAAAGACCTGAGGGAGCAGCCAGGGACCTTTGACTATCAGGTATGGCATAGGCAAGGGAGGGGACCTGCCAGGCCCGCACTGTCCGCAGACCCCCATGTGACAGTGGAAGAGACTAACAGAGAAACAGGGACTTTCCAAGGCCCTCAGCCAACACTTAGGGTCAGTGTGACTGTAAACCCCTCCCAGGGTGCCGGGGCCCACACCACCCTAACAGTGACGGTAGGAGAAGATGCTAGAGCCTGATGGAAACTTGCCCCACCCTGTGTGTGCATCAGACGAGGGGGCGGGTGCTGCCAGCCACTCTCCTTGCACCCCCAGAGGGGCTGCAGCCCCTGCTGGAACTGGGATTGCATCCATCCCTGCCAGGGCTCCTTGGCAGAGCCTTTGGATGAAAGTTCTTGGTTCTGCATTATGAATGCAAATCAGTGTGTAATTCCCATTGTGACGTCCAATCCATCACATCCCTTCTCGGTGCCTCAGTTTCCTTACTTGCAAGTGGGGGCTTCTGACTCTGCATCACTGAGTCACACTGTGGGGTTCACAGAGCTCCAGTCATTCATGAGTGTTCCCTGCTGGGAACAAGGACCTGGGCCAGGAGAAGGGGACTGGTGCCCGGGCCATGTGGCTTACAAGTGGCAGAGCCAGGACTCCAACTTGGCCTCCTCCTTTCTCCCCAGCCAAGGTGCCTTCTACCAGGCCCTGAGTCTCACTCACCCTCCCAGGCTTACAGGTGATTGCAGGTGCCTGCAATCTAAAAAGTGAAAAGGGCCAGCCAGTAGCTGGAGTCACTTTCCTAAAACTCCTTGGCAACCACCACTGGTGTAAAGGGACGAGAGCTTTCTCTTGAGTTCCCGGAGCACAGGCTTGGAGTCCCAGCACACCTGGGTCCTCTGCTGGTAACCTGGGGGAGTCCCCAGCTGTTCCAAGTCCGAGGAGCTAATCAGCCACACACCTAGGCCCAACATGCATTCAGCACACAGGAGTGGTGTGGGAATGGGCACACATATGTCCCAACTCAGCCTGTGGTCACTGCCGCCCTCCTTCCCTCCCAACAGAGGCTGGACCTGGGCGGGAGTGAGAGGAGCCGCGGGGTGACAGTGGCCTTGAAGCTTACCCACCCATACAACAAGCTCTGGAGCCTGGGCCAGGACGACATGGCCATCCCCAGCAAGCCCCCAGCTGCCTCCCCTGAGAAGCCCTCGGCCCTGCTCGGGAACTCCCTGGCCCTGCCTCGAAGGCCCCAGAACCGGGACAGCATCCTGAACCCCAGTGACAAGGAGGAGGTGCCCACCCCTACTCTGGGCAGCATCACCATCCCCCGGCCCCAAGGCAGGAAGACCCCAGAGCTGGGCATCGTGCCTCCACCACCCATTCCCCGCCCAGCCAAGCTCCAGGCTGCCGGCGCCGCACTTGGTGACGTCTCAGAGCGGCTGCAGGTGGATCGGGACAGGCGAGCTGCCCTGAGTCCAGGGCTCCTCCCTGGTGGTGTCCCCCAAGGCCCCACTGAACTGCTTCAGCCACTCAGCCCCAGCCCCGGGGCTGCAGGCACGAGCAGTGATGCCCTGCTCGCACTCCTGGACCCGCTCAGCACAGCCTGGTCAGGCAGCACCCTCCCGCCACGCCATGCCACCCCGAATGTAGCCACCCCATTCACCCCCCAATTCAGCTTCCCCCCTGCGGGGACACCTGCCCCATTCCCACAGCCACCACTCAACCCCTTTGTCCCATCCATGCCAGCAGCCCCACCAACCCTGTCCCTGGTCTCCACACCAGCGGGGCCTTTTGGGGTCCCTCCAGCTTCCCTGGGGCCGGCTTTTGCATCCGGCCTCCTGCTGTCCAGCGCTGGCTTCTGTGCCCCTCACAGGTCTCAGCCCAACCTCTCTGCCCTCTCCATGCCCAACCTCTTTGGCCAGATGCCCATGGGCACCCACACGAGCCCCCTACAGCCGCTGGGTCCCCCAGCAGTTGCCCCATCCAGGATCCGAACGTTGCCCCTGGCCCGCTCAAGTGCCAGGGCTGCTGAGGCCAAGCAGGGGCTGGCCCTGAGGCCTGCAGACCCCCCACTTCTGCCTCCCAGGCCCCCGCAAGGCCTGGAGCCAACACTGCGGCCCTCTGCTCCTCAACAGACCAGAGACCCCTTTGAGGATTTGTTACAGAAAACCAAGCAAGACGTGAGCCCAAGTCCGGTCCTGGCCCCGGCCCCGGCCCCGGCCCCAGACTCGGTGGAGCAGCTCAGGAAGCAGTGGGAGACCTTCGAGTGAGCCAGGCCCTGAGGGCAGGGGATGCACCGAGGTCCGAGGGTCCGTCCACTGCTGCGGTTCCGAGGGTCCCCTGCCACGCTCTCTGCCCAGGTTCTGCTGGTGGGAAGGGATGGGACCCCTCTCTGCTGCCCCCTCCTCCCCTCCACACTGCCCATCTCTGAGGTCTGGCCCTGCGGAATGGCACCAGTTCCAGTCTGGGAATCAACCCAGTTCCTGAGTGCCCGTCCCACCCCGCGGTTGCCCGTCCTCGGCACCCTTGATTGGGTTTTGCACTAAAGAGGTCAGCTGGGCCAATGATTGATTGCCCCAGACCAAGTCCTACCCACCTTCCCCCTGGAAGTGTCCCGAGAGGCTCCGAAGGCCTATCCTCTGAGCCCAGCTCTCCTGTTCCACCACAGCCAGGCCCTGCACGCCCACCTCCTCGGACACAAGTGGCAGGGTTACCCTCCAGTGTGAGCTCCTCTGCCCGAGACACAGGCGGCTTGGGGCTGAAGTTAGGACTCCTCCTGGGCTGGAGGATCTACCTGGTGGGGCACTTCCAGACTGTTTCTAGCAATATACACACACGTTCTTTCCTGTGTCTTCACCCCAAAACTTCAGTTGATTCTGACCTGGGAGGGTCTGGGGACCAGGGGGTCTGGACTGCCTTGTGATGCCCAGCCCCAGCCACCCTGCACGGGGACTGCGAGCACCAGCAACATTGATTTCTAGAAGGAAAATAGAAACCCCATCCGAGTGTTTTGGGGGGAGCCCCCACCCCCTCATTCCAGCTCTCTGGCACTCTGATACCTCCAGGTTCTCTTCTCACTGTCAAAGCTGGGTCTCAGCCTCTTGGCATCTGGAGCTTTGTGGGCAAGCTGCGACCCAGATTTCAACTCGAAGGTCGAGCGGAATGCCTCAGACTGATGCAGAGGCAGCTGGCCTTCCTGGGTTGGAACGAGGCAGTGGCCCTGAGCCCCTGCTCCAGAGCCGGGTAGAAAGGACAAACTTGGTCTCTGCCTCAGAGAAGCAGGAGAAGGGCTAGAAGCCAGTCCCTCCCCACCTGCCCAGAGCACCAGGCCAGCACAGAAATTCCTGAGGCCACCGTCACCAAAGTTAGAGTGAATGTTTTATTGTTTATCTTTTTCCTTTTTACCTTATTGATTTGATGAGTCTTGAAATTGATTCATTTCCATAAACCAAGTTAAAAAGTATGCCCCGACCATTTAAGAAAACAGCCATCTGAGACACGCAGGAAATTGTGAGCATTTCGACCCGAGCTCTCATTTCCTATTCGGGATGGGTCAGACACACAGTCTATCCAGGGGTGTCTGAGGGGGACAAGGGGGGGGGTCTCTGGAGATCTGTCACCCAGGGAGCCCCCTCTGTGTCTAAGAGGCCACCACTGCTGCACATGGTCAGGGAGGCTTGGTGGCCGTCCTGGCACATGGCTTTTCCTGGGCCAACTGTGACCTGTCTGGCTCAGGAATGGGCTCTGGCTGCTTGGGGAGCCGTGTCACTCCTGGGCCATGGGGGCACCTCCCGGGCACTTAGGTGTTTCACAGAAATTCCAGTTTCACTCCCTGGGCAGATCCCCAGGCCCCATCCGAGATAGGGCAGAGGCGGCGCTGGCATCCCCAGGGAAGGAGGGTGTGTACCCCAAGGCGCCCTGGCTGTGCTGGAGGACTGGGGTGAGCGCTCCATGTTCACATGAGCACTGCTGCCTCTTCACTTGTGGGACTGACTTTGCAAACCCAAGGATGAACTTTGTGTGCATTCAATAAAATCATCTTGGGGAAGAGGCTGGCATCCCCGTGTCCTTGAAGCTTTTGGGGTGGGGGAGGCCCCACGTGGGCCTGAAGCCATCCTCACCACCAGCTCCTGTAGAGGCGGGGACCAGGCGTGGAGCAGTTAGGGAAGGAGTCATTTCCCCGCACCCGCCCAAGCCGGTGGCCGCTCAGGGCTCTAAGCCAGCTCATGCTCTGCCCCTCATAGACCAGGCACGGGGTTGGGCTGGCAACAGGCCTGCTCAGCCCTGCTGGGGCCATGGGGCAGACTGCAGGCCACCAACGATGTTGAGGGCACCCAGGAGTCAGGAAAGCATTCAAGGGGACACCTGGCAAGTCGCCCCCACAGGTCTCTCATTAGCAAGAACAGAGCCTGGGCATCTGCCTCTGTTGGACGCTGGTATTTGGAGGGGGTGGAAATGCAGACCAATTGACCACCCATAGTGTGAAACATGCCCAGTCACACCACCCACCCCCTCCAACTCGCCCAGCATCTGACCATGCTCTCCCCTGCAGGACTGACAGGCCTGAACGGCAGGCACCCAGGCCAGGCACAGTGGCTCATACCTGTAATCCCAACACTTTGGGAGGCCGGGGCAGGTAGATCACGAGGTCGGGAGTTCAAGACCAGCGTGGTCAAGATGGTGAAACCCCTTCTCTACTAAAGCAGGCACCTGTAATCCCAGCTACTCCAGAGGCTGAGGCAGGAAATTGCTTGAACCCAGGAGGCAGAGGTTGCAGTGAGCCGAGATCGTGCCACTGCACTCCAGCCTGGGTGACAGAGTGAGACTCCATCTCAAAAAAAAAAAAACAAACAAAAAACCAGCCACCTGAAGCAATAGGAGCCAGGAAGAGAGGGCACAGCCAGCTTTCATCTACATGTTGGGGTTCCACATAAAATATCCTAGGAGTCACAGCTGACACAGGTTTTCCAAATCCCTAACTCAGTAAACTGACCCTGGAACCGGCTAAGGCAAGGGAACCGGATGCCTCCTCCCCCTGTTCCCAAGGGTTGTAGAGAAAGTTCAGCGAAAAGTGGTTCCACCTCCTCCAGGATAAGGACCAGGCAAGCCCCTGAGCCTGGCGTTCAGGGCCCTCTCTATCCCAGCCTCTGCTGACTTCCCAGTCCCATGTCCCAGTCCCCCAAGTTGTCACGTGGTTCCACCTTGGATTGGACACCCATGCCTCTGGGACTCGCCGAAACCGAAAGGAAAAGCTGACTGTCGACCCAAAAGTGTAAACGGATCTCCTGGCCTGAGAAGCAGGAAGGACAAAAGGGCACATCTCCAGGTCCATGAAGCTGGAAGGAGGCCTGGCCCTTAGGCAAGTGCCCTTCAGGGATTGGAGGTCACAGTGTGATGGGCATCGCCGGGGAAGGGGCTGGGAGCAAGCAGCAGAGTCTCCCCCGAGTCTGCCTCTGCAGGCCCAGCCCTGACACAGAGGCAGCGCCAGTGTTCACTGAGCTCCTCCACTCAGCAGACACCCCAGAGGGCTTCCTTCGAGTCCTCTCGCCGAATCTGTGTAGAGGCAACCAGTCATCAGGGGAAGGAGCTCGCTCGCCAGGCTGCTAGGGAGGACCGGAGCTGGAGACGCAGAGGTGGTTGGGTGAGCTGGCGGCGTTTGGGGCAGGAGAAGGGTTGCTCTGTCATCCTTATCCCAGAAGGACATGCAGACGATCCTTCCCATCAGACGGGAGTTGACGACGTCCAGATTCTCTCCCCACTGTCATCCTCTCCGATCCTCACAACAGCCCTGTGAGGTAGGCGGGGGGTGCCTTCCCCGTTTGACAAATGACCACAGCAGGGTGGGAAGCTCAAGGCAGCCCCTCCTCTGCTCCCTTGGGCTGCTCCGGCTGAGGGGGCGGGTGGGTCTGTGGTTCCCTCGCGTGACTGGCTCTGGCTTCTGGCAGACAGACCTGCCTGAAGGGACGTTTGTTCTAGGAGCCAGAGCCCACTCGGCCTCTGCCAGTGGCCTCCCGACTTCCCAGCTGCCTCCGCGGCAGGAGCAGCCCCCAGAGGCAGGGAAGGAGGCAGGAGCCCTGGCTTTGGTGCCTGGGCAACCCCGGCCTGGCCTCCTGGAGAACATGCAGCCTTAGACCGCCCCTGCCCCAGGACTGTAATGGTTGACCCCGTGGAGCAGCCACCGCCTCCTGAGATCAGCCACACCCATCACAGTCATAGACACACAGCAAACGCAGCAGACACGCCCTGCAGCCCTGTCAGGACACACACTAGCATCTGTAGACTAACACGGGCCCAGGTACACACTCAGACACACTCCTCCAGATACACACACTGTGTGCACCCACATGTGCCCTCCCACGCACAGCCGTACAGCTGCCGAGGCACAACCCCGAGGGTGGGATGAAGTCCACAGCCTCTCTAGGTCTCTGTTTCCCTGAGTTGCTCCCCTCATCCTCCATCCACGATGGGGCAGAGGCAGAGGCTGCCAGCCAAGGGGACACTTCCATAGCAATGTCCCGAGCCGTGGCAGCAGCTTCCTTGGGTCTCCAGGTGGAAACCATTCAGGACCTCCAGGTGCTGGTGCCGGCAGCCAGGCTGGCCTAGATGAGTCTCTCCTCCGGTGGCACCTTGAGGACACTGTCCATCTCCAGCCGGGCCCCAGCCACCTCCTGCTGGCTTGGGCTGTAGGTGCCCTCGGACTGGCGGCGCTTTCGGGCTGCCAGGATCCCTGAAAGGAGGCCCAGGAGGAGGAGGAGGAGGCAGGCACAGGCTGCAGGCACGGCCACCTCCAGCAGCGGGAATGGCAGCGGCAGGGGCACGCCCTTCTGCAAGAGACACAACACCGAGGCCTAAGATCACAGAGAAGGGGAGGACCCTGGGCCCTCAGTAGCACAAGGACCTGCTCAGAGAAAATCAGAGCTGGGAGCAGGCTGCCCTGGGAGCGGTGAAGACCCAGCCCCAGGGGTGTACAGGCAAGTGCCAGGAAACCACCTGTCAGAGCCACTGGCTCGGGGAGTCCTGTACAACAAAGGCGTTCTGGCTAGAAGGACAGAGACGGACACCCGGCAGGAGCTAAGCAGGGTGCGTGGGTTTCACAAAAGCCTACAAGGGTGAGATGAGGCAGAGCGGGAGCTGGGGCAGACTGAGCGGCCCCCTGTCACAACAGCCAAGTCAGAATCCACTGGGGCCTGCCTGCCGGGGCGGGGTGGCACAGGGAGCAGGGGACTGTTCTGACAGCTTGTCCCTGCAAGCCCTGGCCCAGGCTTCAGGGGGCCCAGCAAACCTCCTTGCTGTCTCCAGTCACAGGCTCCCAGGATGCCCCATCAAAGCCTCTACATGCCTGGGACTCTGAAGTCCCAGGATGCGAGGATTCCAGAGGCACGGGCTCTGGGACTCACCGGCCTCCCTCTGTACCTCCAGGCTTCTCAGCCCGCTGTGACCTGGGTCCTAAAACTAGAGAGGAAAGTCCCTCTGTCCTGAGAGAGCCCTGCCAGCCTCCACCCCTGAACATTTTAGGGGAGGAGCTGTAAAGCCATTTCCTTCCCCTGCCCTGGGAGGTGGCTGGGTGGGGAAGCCAGAGGCTGTAAAAGTTCAACTTGAAAGGAAACATTCCCCATAAGCGGAGGGGATTTGTGGTTTATGGCCCAGGCTGCCAGAGGCCTGTGGAGATCAAGGCTGCTCCCCAGACTACCCTTTCCAAGCCTCTCCTCGCCAGCACCCACCTTCCCCCGACCACCCCCGCCCCGAGGAAGGGGTGTGTCAGGGAGGGTCACAGCTCCAGCCCCTGCCGCCTTCGCCTTCCACTTCGTCTGTCCAGGCTCCTCCCGGGCTGAGCCCCCTGGGGTTGGGGCCACCCTGCACAGTGGCCGAGCCTGCCCCAGTGCAGACTCCCAGGCCACCCCCACCTTGCCCCAGGTCTTCCAACTCAGTCTCCTGGATTCACCAGCCTAAATCCCAGAACACCAACATCCTCTTGGCCCTGAGTCCTGGTTGGATTGGCAGAGACCATCTGTCCTCACTGCCACTGCCCTGGGCACTCTGGGGAAGCCCCTGACCCAGCCAGGAGCTTTGTGCTCTTGTCAATAGATGGTGGCAGCCCTCAAAGCTCTCCCTGGCGTGGAAATACCGCCTGTGTGGGGGGTGTGGAAAGGACCTGAGGCTCCTCTCACTGCCCCACCCCATGACAGAGTGGCCCAGGAACAGCCCCACGGTGCTCTGCTCTCCCCAGCAGCATCAGCTCACCAAGGGCCCAGCAGGCCACGTCCACAGCCCCTCACCCCGGCAACACTCACCACCACTTCACAGAACTGGCCGGAGAATCTGGCATTGCAGATACATTCAGATACCCCTCCAGCTGCCCGGCAGGTGCCCCCATTCAAGCAGGGGTTGGTTTCACAGGGAAGGGCGGGGACCTGACACCTGGAGAAGGAGGGGGGCTGAGGAAGCGGCTCCCCCATGGCTGCCTCTTGTGCTCCCAGCTGCTCTGCTGCCCACCCCCCCCTTCAGCAAGCATCAGAGCTTATCCGTTCACTGCCCCCATGCGCTGCTCCTGCCCAGCTGGGCCCTGCCAGGTGACCACCCGAGCAGCTATGACTGAGAAGGACTCTCCTCCCATTAGGGGGACTGGGGAGCCTGTGTGAAGGCAGGTGCCCCGGGAACTGACGCCACTGTCTGCAGGGCCCAGAATCTGCAATTTTATGGTCTCCCACAAGCGGGCTGAGGCTGTTCCCATGACTGCTACCAGGTCTGTATCACAGAGGATGGTCTTGGAAGACATGGAAGGAAACTCAAAGTGACAATGGTGACCGTGATACCAGGGAGGGGTGAGAAGGTGGGCAAGGACCCCCACCCCACCCTGGCTGGAGGAATAGCCCTTCACACTCGTTGGACCCCCTCACAGTTCCCAGGCCCCCAGACCCACCTCTGGCCAGCAAGACCCTCCAGGCAGCTGCAGTTGGCAGCGGGAGAGCCACCCTCACACGGGCTGCCATCGAGGCAGGTGACATTCAGGATGCACTCCTTGGATGGGACAGGCAACCTGGGGAGAGAGCAGAGGCTGGAGTGGGTGCAGGATACCTGGGACCTGCCCTCCCCAGTGCTGTGACCGTGGGCCACCTGAGCCTGTGTTCTCATGTATGGAATTCAGGGCCCTCCTCTATCGGTCACGGGATTGCGGTCCCTGGTGGGAGGGAAGGGTCATTTACTTTCCAGAACCTCAGAGAACTCTGAGGACAACAAAAAGTAAGGATTCTGAACAAAAGCAGCTCCTAAACGCAACGCCTGGACATTCTTTGAGGGGAGAGGGAGGGATCAGGCCACAGCCAGATCCCCCTTCCACACCCTAAGCTCCAGGGAGAGCCACCGGGAGATGAATAAGAGAAGTGCCAAAGCCTGATCCCCTCCCTCCACCCCGACCAGTGACCAACAGGGATGAACCTCGGTGTAAGCGGCAGGCGCTCCCAGCCCCAGACATCATTGCTGTTTATCTGAAATTCCAAGCTAACTGGGTGTGTTTTGATCTGTGTTTTATTAGGAAATTTATCAAATTAAACTGTCCTCCTCATGTCACAGATAAGGACACGAGGATCAGGGAAGGGAAGCGACTCATCCACAGACCTGGCAGACTTCTCTGCCCCACCAGTCCCAGGGGGCATTTGCAGCCCACCCCTACCCTGGTCACCACCCCCTCCCGGGCCCGCGCCCCTGCCCAGCCGTCCCACC